TCGCCCCATTTCCACTGCTCGCCCGTTGCAGCTCGCAGAGGTGAAGAGTAGTAATCAACCGCTTGAATTCTAACCGCTCGCAGCAGCTGCAGACGTAAGTTAGACCCTCTTTTACTGCGTTTTCGTAAATAATTTGGGCAGCTGCATAACTGCTTCTTAGACGTTGCCGTGCTTTGCGGTCCCTAGCGCGTTCTTCATTCCTTGTCTCTGTGTCCATCCGTCGGTTTTGCATTGCTTCAGCACTCGCAAGTCTTTCGTTTTTCCGGTATTCTTCGTCTTTGTCGCTTCGGTATTTCATTGCTTCTAACTTCGTAAGTCTTTCTTGCTCCCGGTACTCTTCGTCTGCATGTCTTCGGCATCTCATTGCTTCCACATTTAACCGACGTTGATTCTCGTTTTGTTTGTTTCTCTTTCATCCCGTCTGTAGTTAGGATTTGTTTCGTGTTGGATTTGCATGGCTTCGGTATTCGCTTGTCGTTCGCGATCCCTGTATTCGGATTGCATTTGCCGTCGAGATTGTATCGCAAGTCTATTAACCTCCCTTTCCCTTTCTCTGGATAAGTAATCTCATCCTCGTCAAATCCATCGCCAGCAGCAGCACACTCGAAAGAAGCCCTAAGATTCTGTCAGAACTGACTTCTCAGCATATCACTGTGCTGTCATGCACCCCACCCGCCGTACTTCCAGTCCTCCCGATACGCCTGTCATATTGTCAACTCCCCTCTCTCGTATCCGGTACTCGGTATTGGTATCTCTGCAACTTTTCATGGCGTTCCTGTTGGACGTTCTCTCTCCCTCAGTGGGTGCTCAGCATCATTTCGGAGAATTCTCTCTCTACTGCTTGTTGCCTCCTCTCGCTTTCCGGATTTGGCTCGCTGCGTCGGATTATCTGGTTTGTTGCTGGTTGACACATCTGGTGGGTGCGCGTGTCTACCGCTTCGTCTAGCTTTATTCCAGAACGAACATCCCCAACAGTTTGAGGCTATAGCACCAATGCGGAGGAATGTCCTGTACGGGTGTTGAGCTTCACTCGTCTTGAACGGTCATCACAACAGTGATTTGAAAAAATTGACAACAGCTTCTAAAAAATTAGTTATATTCATTGATGGAAGTTACTTGACACTGCAAATTGAGCACTGAGGCTTTTGCTTCGGTTGCCATCATCTGCAACTGTTGAGTGCTTCGTGGGAAGTGGCTGCAACCACGCTGTTTGCTGTGCAGTTGTATTTCGTACACTTCCATCGCGGATATGAGCGTTAGAGCGTCGCTGACGTATCAGCGCGCTATTACAGTGTTGTCTACGAACACGACTTGCTAGCCGTTGTGCTCGAAACTGTCTTCTGCGTGGCATTTATGCTTGACTGAGCTGAAAAATGTGGCTGCTTGTTCCAGAACGGATACGTATAGCTGAGAATACCGTCCCTTCGAATCCTAATGAAACTATTCAAGTTAAGTGCGAAGATTCTGATTCTTCCTGAAGAGACAGTCCTTCCTGATATCAGTTCCTAATAATTATACCTTTCTCCTGATCCATGCTGCTGCCGCTGGAGCTACTGAAAAGCAAAATTTTGCCTTGAATAAAAAAACTTAAAATGCAGCTACCATATTCAACTGCTACAACAGAGAACACCATCAATTGCTACCTATACCGTCGACCCATTTTTGGCGCCGCCGTTCGATGACCGATCACTCGCAAGAAAATGAAATTGGGGTGATGAAGTCGGCTTCTCCATTTCCTTTTGAAAGGATTTCAAGACAACACTTCATTTATGCAAATTTTTCAAACGTTATGCCTTACCGGAAAATGGAAGTGTTGGTGCCGCAGTGCGTATTTTGGGAAGGCAAATTGAAGGAAACATGGAAAAATGCGAATCAGGCAAAAGGTGGGACGAAAAGGAAGTTTGTTAGGCTAAAAAATTTTCAGCCTTTTAGCTTTTCTGGTTCTCGAGATGAAAGTGGGCGACAAAAAGTGCGAACACAGACACATACACACACACA